ACCCCTATTTTATTTTATTTATTTTTTGGTTATGACTCGGTGCCGGTTTTCATCATTGGACGCGGTTTCTTCTTTTAGCTCGTTTGCCTTTTTTTCTGTCGTCATATTTTCCTTTCGAAGGGCCTTCATACTACATCAACAGCCATTTGTTTTTGTTTCTTTTTGTTTTTTATTCTAAGACGTAAGGCCTCTCGTGGCATCGAAACAAATCACATTCAGAGCAGTCCCTCGAGAACATGGAAGGAGATAGAGCACATTGAATAGTCAGATACAGTCTACAGATCTCTATAGGGACAATCCAGCAATCTCTTTTCCAAGCTAGATCCATCACATGTTATTAATGCGGCTGGTTAGGAAAGTCAATGAACTGCAAGAAATCCTAAGATTATCCGGCCACTCGGTGTATATAATAATCCGGCCACTCGGTGTATATAATAATCCGGCCACTCGGTGTATATAATAGTCCGGCCACTCGGTGTATATAATAGTCCGGCCACTCGGTGTATATATAAGACTGCATATCCTAGGTGTAGCATATTACCAGCAATGTATCTTCTTTGTGTGTCACTCAGCTGGAGGTCCATTAATGATCTCTGGATTTGTCCTTCCGGAAGGCGGCTGCTTTTGTTCTCCATGGTCCCTGTGGGTGTTGTAGAGCTCCCATAATGGACTACAATCTCATATTTGGTTTACTGATTTGTATTGGGATTGTAGTCCATCCCGGGGGGCGGAGCTTGGAGCGGTGATTACTTTACATCACACACAAGGACCATGGGGAACAGACGTAGCCCCCCCCCCAGAAGGAAGGACAATGTCAGAGATGATTGGAGGATCTCCAGCCGAGTGACACATTTTATTTACGCCGCAGCTGATGTAGTTATCACATATGCGTGGTGGGATTTGCAGTTTCCCCCGACAGGAGGTTCATTGGAAACTGTGCAGAGGGACCCGGAGCCCGGGGTCGGTGAATAGTCCCTCTTTTTCTTGCCATAGATGTATACAACTATTTACTAGGGCAGGGGCGGGCAATCTCCAGCCCTCCAGCTGGGGGTGCAACTACAAGTCCCATGAGGCATTGCAAGACTCTGATAGCCAGAGCCATGACTCCCGGAGGCAGATACATGGTGGGATTTGCAGTTTCACCACAGCTGGAGGGCCGGAGTTTGGCTACCTCAATACTAGGGAATGCCCTTGAAACCCCTTTCAGGTGGCCATACACCACCAGGGGTAGGCAAACTCTGGCCCTCCAGCTGTGGTGCAACTACACGTGGCATTGGGCGATAGACCACAACAGTGGTGGCGAATCTTGGCACTCCAGCTGTGCCAAAGCTACAAATCCCAACATGCATCTGCCTCTGGGAGTTGTGGCTGTCACAGCCTTGCAATGCCTCATGGGACTTGTAGTTCCAAAGCAGCTGGAGTGTCAAGGTCCGCCACCACTGGACTACAATCTCAATACAAATCAGTAAACTAAACATGAGATTGTAGTCCATCCCGGGGGGAGGGAGCTTGGAGCGGTGACTACTCTACAACACACACAGGGACCATGGGGAACAGACGTAGCCCCCCTCCAGAAGGAAGGACGGTGTCAGAGATGATTGGAGGATATACAGCCGAGTGATACACCAATAAGATACATTGTTGCTCAGAGTTCGGGGACTCGGAGGGATTTTTTGGGTAGAACTCCTGAGCTTCGCGTCACTTTAAATAGTATCAGAAGAGGAACACACAGCAGTGCTCATGCTTATAGACCGTCTTCTCGCTCATCTTGTTGACTTCCGCAAAGGTCTACAATCATACATTCTGTAGAAGAAAAACAAAACAACACTAGTACCCCCAGTAAAAAAAAAAAAATGAAAAAAGGGGGTATGATCCTAAAAAAAACAACCTCTTGATGTAAAGACATACATTCACAGAGAACCAACCAGATACAATCCATGCTTGAAGCCTTTCATGAACCCCATTGGCACCACTTCTCTGCGAGATTCTAGGTGTGTTCCACTCTGTGTTTTCATTGGCTTTTCTCCCTCAACCCTTTACCTTCTATTTCTCCATTTCTTCCCCGCCACCCCTCCCTCCACCGAGGCATGGAAGAACATCCTCTGCATGCTATAATCCTCGTTCCACACAAGGCCGACCAATCGAGCCAGTCCCTCCTATACAGCGACGTTGGGCTTAAATACTCGAATGTTTACTGTGCCAAATATGCATGATTAAAATCGGAGCTCCGCCCTCCGTGCCGTCAAGGCTGTGTCACTGTGTGGGCGCTGAGCCTCCTCTTGGTATTTCATTATTACAAGTCACGCTGAACACAGTCATGATTCAAATTTAAAAAAAAAAAAAATTTTTGGGATCTTTTTGTTTTGTTTTTTTTTTTTTTAAATTTCCTTCTTAATTTCCCTTTTGGGTCTCAAGTGCAGCATGAGCGCTTTTCCATCATTCCGAGAAAAGAAAAAAACACGTTATTTTTGTTTATTTCACTTTTTTTGTCATCTCAACCGTGTGTTTAAAACATCCATTGGCTCTCATTGCTGTGCACAGCTGCTCTTGATTCAAAATTTTATTTATGTATTTTAATTTATTTTTATTATTAGCATGTTTCGTCGGAATATAGCAAAGCCGATTCCTGCCGCTTGTAAGTTATCAGCGCTGCTGCAAGTTAGCTTTCGGCATTGTAGTTGTGATTTCACCGCATTCCCTCCGCACTAGTCCTAAAAAAAAACCAAAACAACTGCATGCCAAAAGTTAGCAGAACATCGTTTAAAAACTAACAAAAAAAATAATAATTATGAAACTATAAATAAAAATTTAATGTGATTTTTATTTATTTTTTTACTTTGAAAAAACATTGGCACATAATATCTAAAATTAAATTTATCTAAATCAAGGTTATCAAGGAAACAACATTTTAAAAATGAAACCAAACATTAACAAATTTAAATATGTAAATGTATTCCTATTATTAGGAAGGAAAATCATTTTAAGGAAA